CCATCCATGCCATCCCCTGAGTCCTGACCCTGAGCCCTGCCTCCATGCCAATCCCCTGAGACCTGTCCCTGAGCCCTGCCCTCCATGCAATCCCTGAGACCTCCCAGCCTGCCCTCCATGCCCATCCCTGAGTCCTGACCCTGAGCCCTGCCTTCCATGCCCACCCCTGAGTCCTGACCCTGAGCCCTGCCCTCCATGCCAATCCCTGAGTCCTGACCCTGAGCCCTGCCCTCCATGCCCATCCCTGAGTCCTGACCCTGAGCCCTGCCCTCCATGCCCATCCTGAGTCCTGACCCTGAGCCCTGCTTCATGCCCACCCCTGAAACCTGTCCCTGAGCCCTGCCATCCATGCCTATCCCCTAGACCTGTCCCTGAGCCCTGACCACTATGCCCGCCCCCTGAGACCTGTCCCTGAGCCCTGCCCTCCATGCCATCCTTGAGTCCTGTCCCTGAGCCTGCCCTCCATGCCCATCCCCTAGACCTGTCCCTGAGCCCTGCCCTCCATGCTCACCCCTGAGTCCTGTCCTTGAGCCCTGCTCCATGCCATCCCCTGAGTCCTGTCCTTGATCCCAACTCTCCATGCCCATCCCTTAGACCTGTCCCTGAGCCCTGCCCTCTATGCCCTCCCCTGAGACCTGTCCCTGAGCCCTGCCCTCCATGCCCATCCCTTGAGTCCTGTCCTGAGCCCTGCCCTCCATGCCCTCCCCTGAGACCTGTCCCTGAGCCAACTCTCCATGCCATCCCTTAGACCTGTCCCTGAGCCCTGCCCACTATGCCCACCCCTGAGACCTGGGCCTGCCTTCTCTCCTTCCTGCACCAGGTCCCTGGCACCTGCGCTGAGTCCCCCAATGCGCCCGCTGACTGATGTCCTGTCAGCCTACACGGGCATCCCCTGGCTGTCTCCTGGACCCTGCTGGCAGCTGGAAGCAGCCTGCCTCTCTTTATCTTCAGCTTTAGAAACTCAGCCCCATCACTGAGTTAAGATGCAAAGAGGCTCCCTAAGGGAGCCTGTTTTTAGCGTGCACTGGACACTTACATCCATCCCCAGCTGTCCGAATCAGCAGCTTCTTCAGGATCTCTAGCCGTGAATACTCCCAACCTATAACGCACTTCTTCTTTGCTCTATCTGGCCTCTCACATATCAAGTTTACTTGACTATAAAGAAAGGGAGACCTCAGCCTCCGAAGCCCATCTCTGCGGATGGGAATTTCAGCGGAAGAAGCAGAGTGCTGACGTTTCTGTACCTCTGAATTAACCTTACCTCTCAGCTCTGCACCTTCCTTATTCCTGCGCAGCAAGCCCTGCCTCACACCTGAGCCCTGATACCCTCAGAAGCATGCGTGTGTGTGTGTGTGTGTGTGTGTGAGAGAGAGGAGAGAGAGAGAAAGACCTCCTGCAGAGATTCTTGCTCACTCTCCCTGTGCTCAGGTTAAGCAGCACGGACACTCAGGAGAGGAAGGCTGGAAAGGAGCAGGGGCAGAGAATAAGGACACAGGTAACGGCCCAGTAACTGCAGCCACTGAAGCAGTGTCACTTCCCAGCACAACGTCGGGGATTCGTTTTCAGCTCCAGCTCCAGAGAGAGGAGTACCAGGGCGGGTGGACGCCAAGGAAGTGGTCAGACGGCACAGGAAGTGGTCAGAGGGTGGCAGGAAGCGCTTCCTTCCGCAGAAGGCCTGGGTGCAGAAGTTAAGCTCTAGGACCTCTCTGTTCAAAGATCCCTTCGCCCACAGCCCTTTCTCTAGTTAACTCACAGCACATGTTGTGTGTACTCTCCATTTCTTCTCACCTTCCTACACCTGTGCACTTTTTCCTCCCGGAGGGAGAGCCCTGTGCTCAGTCATGAGAGTCAGAACTGGAAGGGTCTTAGCACTCAGTCATCACCTGTCATTCGTTCATTCATTCATTCATTCCCTGTGCATCTGCCGTGTGCCCTTGCCAGCGTTGGCATGCCATCTCTCCTGTCCCTGAGCCCTGCCCTCCATGCCCACCCCTAAGTCCTGTCCCTGAGCCCTGCCCTCCATGCCCACCCCTAAGTCCTGTCCCTAAGCCCTGCCCTCCATGCCCATCGCCTAGACCTGTCCCTGAGCCCTGCCATCCATGCCCACCCCTGAGTCCTGTCCCTGAGCCCAGCCCTCCATGCCCACGCCTGAGTCCTGTCCCTGAGCCCTGCCCTCCATGCCCATCCCCTAGACCTGTCCCTTAGCCCTGCCCTCCATGCCCATCCCCTAGACCTGTCCCTGAGCCCTGCCCTCCATGCCCATCCCCTAGACCTGTCCCTGAGCCCTGCCCTCCATGCCCATCCCTTGAGACCTGTCCCTGAGCCCTGCCCACTATGCCCATCCCCTGAGCCCTGTCCCTGAGCCCTGCCCTCCATGCCCATCCCCTAGACCTGTCCCTGAGCCCTGCCCACTATGCCCATCCCCTGAGAGCTGTCCCTGAGCCCTGCCCACTATGCCCATCCCCTGAGCCCTGTCCCTGAGCCCTGCCCTCCATGCCCATCCCCTGAGTCCTGTCCCTGAGCCCAGCCCTCCATGCCCATCCCCTGAGTCCTGTCCCTGAGCCCAGCCCTCCATGCCCATCCTCTGAGCCCTGTCCCTGAGCCCTGGCCTCCATGCCCATCCCCTGAGCCCTGTCCCTGAGCCCTGCCCTCCATGCCCATCCCCTGAGTCCTGTCCCTGAGTCCTGCCCTCCATTCCCATCCCCTGAGTCCTGTCCCTGAGCCCTGCCCTCCATGCCCATCCCCTGAGTCCTGTCCCTGAGCCCTGCCCTCCATGCCCATCCTCTGAGCCCTGTCCCTGAGCCCTGCCCTCCATGCCCCTGAGCCCTGCCCTCCATGCCCATCCCCTGAGACCTGTCCCTGAGCCCTGTCCTCCATACCCATCCCCTGAGTCCTGTCCCTGAGCCCTGCCCTCCATGCCCATCCCCTGAGACCTGTCCCTGAGCCCTGCCCTCCATGCCCACCCCTGAGACCTGTCCCTGAGCCCTGCCCTCCATGCCCTCCCCTGAGACCTGTCCCTGAGCCCTGCCCTCCATGCCCTCCCCTGAGACCTGTCCCTGAGCCCAACTCTCCATGCCCATCCCTTAGACCTGTCCCTGAGCCCTGCCCTCCATGCCCATCCCCTAGACCTGTCCCTGAGCCCTGCCCTCCATGCTCACCCCCTGAGTCCTGTCCTTGAGCCCTGCCCTCCATGCCCATCCCCTGAGTCCTGTCCTTGATCCCAACTCTCCATGCCCATCCCTTAGACCTGTCCCTGAGCCCTGCCCTCTATGCCCTCCCCTGAGACCTGTCCCTGAGCCCTGCCCTCCATGCCCATCCCTTGAGTCCTGTCCCTGAGCCCTGCCCTCCATGCCCTCCCCTGAGACCTGTCCCTGAGCCCAACTCTCCATGCCCATCCCTTAGACCTGTCCCTGAGCCCTGCCCACTATGCCCACCCCCTGAGACCTGGGCCTGCCTTCTCTCCTTCCTGCACCAGGTCCCTGGCACCTGCCGCTGAGTCCCCCAATGCCGCCCGCTGACTGATGTCCTGTCAGCCTACACGGGCATCCCCTGGCTGTCTCCTGGACCCTGGCTGGCAGCAGTGGAAGCCAGCCTGCCTGCTCTTTTATCTTCAGCTTTAGAAACTCAGCCCCATCACTGAGTTAAGATGCAAAGAGGCTCCCTAAGGGAGCCTGTTTTTAGCGTGCACTGAGACACTTACATCCATCCCCAGCTGTCCGAATCAGCAGCTTCTTCAGGGATCTCTAGCCCGTGAATACTCCCAACCCTATAACGCACTTCTTCTTTGCTCTATCTGGCCTCTCACATATCAAGTTTACTTGACTATAAAGAAAGGGAGACCTCAGCCTCCGAAGCCCATCTCTGCGGATGGGAATTTCAGCGGAAGAAGCAGAGGTGCTGACGTTTCCTGTACCTCTGAATTAACCTTACCTCTCAGCTCTGCACCTTCCTTATTCCTGCGCAGCAAGCCCTGCCCTCACACCTGAGCCCTGATACCCTCAGAAGCATGCGTGTGTGTGTGTGTGTGTGTGTGTGTGAGAGAGAGAGAGAGAGAGAAAGACCTCCTGCAGAGATTCTTGCTCACTCTCCCTGTGCTCAGGTTAAGCAGCACGACACTCAGGCAGAGGAAGGGCTGGAAAGGAGCAGGGGGCAGAGAATAAGGACACAGGTAACGGCCCAGTAACTGCAGCCACTGAAGCAGTGTCACTTCCCCAGCACAACGTCGGGGATTCTGTTTCAGCTCCAGCTCCAGAGAGAGGAGCACAGGGCGGGTGGGACGCCAAGGAAGTGGTCAGACGGCAGCAGGAAGTGGTCAGAGGGTGGCAGGAAGCGCTTCCTTCCGCAGAAGGCCTGGGTGCAGAAGTTAAGCTCTAGGACCTCTCTGTTCAAAGATCCCTTCTGCCCACAGCCCCTTTCTCTAGTTAACTCACAGCACATGTTGTGTGTACTCTCCATTTCTTCTCACCTTCCTACACCTGTGCACTCTTTTCCCTCCCAGAGGGAGAGCCCTGTGCTCAGTCATGAGAGTCAGAACTGGAAGGGGTCTTAGCACTCAGTCATCTACCTGTTCATTCGTTCATTCATTCATTCATTCCCTGTGCATCTGCCGTGTGCCCTGTGCCAGGCGTGGGCCATGCCCTGGGGTCTCAACACAGTGGGGCCATCCACTATAACTTCCTCATCATCCAGTTGGAAATCTGAGACAGAATGACCTTCCCAAATTGTGCCGAGCACCATAGCGGGTGGTCTGTCATTTCCAATAATGAGATGCTTCAGAGCTAACAGGAAAATTAAATATTAAGTGTATTATACTTAGAGGTTTCCTGTATGTAGTTGTCTCTCCTAGTTCATGTTCTCTGAGCTTCAGACATTCGGAGGCGTCGGATCATGGTTGGTGGGCAGCCTCACGTCACAAGGTCAGTAGATACTGACAGTGGTTGACAGTATCCCCGAAACTAAGTGTGGCCCATGCTGGTTCTGAAGATACCCATGTCCTAGTGACATCTCTTGTCCTGAAGGAAAGGTTGTCACTCATACTCCCCTTCCTGAACCAAGCAGGAAGTTGGGATTAAAAAAACAATTTCTTTAGCCCTTTATAGTACCTAAGCTTCCCCACCTGTGAACATGGACGCAACTCAGATTATTATGGATTTGAGCATCAGCTAAAAATCAGGCTCTTTAGAAAGGGAGTGACTACACTAGAGAGAAATTGTCTAGTAGAAATTATTTAGTATCAGGTTTTTAGATGCCGATACTAAAGAAGAGAAAATTGAGACCCAGGGCAAAAGCGAGTGTCTCAGGCTCGTGCGGCTGTGAGCGGCGGAGGCAGAGCCGAGTCCAGGCCCCCAGCCTCTGGCATCAGTCAGGGCCGGGCACTCACCTCTGAAGCGCCGAATACCTGCTGCCCTGGAGGCCTCACAACACGTGAAAGTTTGCTTCCGTCCAGCTAAATCTATGATATCATGTTATCCCCAGGTAATTGGTTTTAGAAACTTTATGTTTGTCCTCAGCTGAGGAGCAGAGATTGTTCTTCCTAGCTCCCTGGGCAGGGAAACATGAAATGGTATTTTCCCTCTCGATGATTACCTTCCACAAGAAAATATCTGTTTTCTTAACCTGCGTCTCTATGGTATGAGCAGGTGCAAGGGGAGAGGGGGGATCAATTTCAGAGTATCAGCCCTTAACACTTAGGTGGAGAGAAATTAGTGTTTCCCTGTGAACACTCTTAGGCTCTTACACGTGAGAATCCTTATAGAGTGCACTAGACAGCACTAGTTCACTGTCATGTAGATTTGCCCGGCAACCATCACCCCACTTTTGGTAACAACAGTACAATTTTCTTTGAGTGCGCAGCTGTCCTCCCGCCCTGTCTGTGTGGTTCAGTAGCAGCGGACCCCACCTGGACCCCATTCTACTCCAGGCACGGGCACAGGACCCAGCTTTGTTGGTTACATCCATGAGTCCCAACAGCCCCAGTGATTGGATTGTGGATGGTCAGGTGCCCTGAGCTGGGCCATTACGGAGCGACTCTGAGACGTGCACTGGAAGTACTTGGAAGGAAGTGCCCTTGTTCTGCAGGGCTTGTTAGTAACAGAGGGGAAGCCTGGAACTGCTTGTCTAGTCACGTACGTGGGGGTGTCTGAGAGATGGATGAAGACAGACTCTCGTGGATATCATCTGAGTGTCTGATTCCACCTGGTCCTTAATCTGAGAAATTTATCCCTAACTGTTACAAATTGGGGTAGTCAAAATTTTCTTTTATTTTTCAGTGTAAGTCTGTTTGAGTCAGGTTTCTGTTATTTGCAACCTGAAGAAACCTAATACACCCACAACAAGGACACCAAGTAGGTGCTTAGAGGGAATTAGAGTGAAAGGGCAATGACAATATTTTAGGCAACTGGCCTGATGGCTGCTGGGTCCTGAGAAGAGGAAAGGTCAACCCCACACAGATGGGGGTCTTGGCCCTAAGCAGGGTGCTCTAGTGGCAGAGCAGAGCTTACCAGGAGAGGAGAGCCCATCCCAGGTGACGTCTGGTCTCCACCCACCTAACATTCCACCGAGTTTCAGTGTGAGAATCTGAAACTGCTTTTGTTGAGGTTTCGCCACCTTTGACTCCCACAATGCTTTCCAGGTCCCCAGAATACAATGTTTCATTTAGGGGCTCCCCCAAATGCCTGAGATTGGAGTTCATCACCAGCTACATTTTCTCTGCTGCCAAAATCTGAATTTCCTCCATTTCTCTTCCTCTTCGCCTGTCATCCCTCCCTGCGCTCACCCAGCACAAGCAGGGCAGACTTCAGTCCTTGCAAAGGCACAGCATTGGACCTTCATGACTTGCTGCAAATCCTACTTTTTGAGTAGAAGTCTTAATTTCTTCTTGCCTTTCCTAGGCGATTTCCTGCTAACCATCAGTCCCTTTTCCCCATCTGGAATGGTGTGGGGGGGGGGTGCCGTGCAAATTATAGACTGATGAGCCCCACAAAGCAGGCAGCCTAATCAGTCATTCCACCAAGCCTACCTAAGCACCAGGCACCAGGTACCATTGTGGGGATATAATGGAATGAGAAATGTTCCCTGTCCTCAAGGAATTTACACAGCTACTATAAGTGGGAAACTTGTTTGTAGCTCTCAGCCTGTAAAATACCTATAGGGATTGTGGACATTCAAGACATAACACATTTCTGAAGCTTATGCCACACCATGTGTCCTACCAACCTGACCCGATCTGTTTGGAACATTTAGAAGATTGTGCCTGGCAGTCCCCTTCCCAGCATGGGACCCGCACGGGCCACCAGGTCACGGGGAGGCAGGGGAATGGCGCGAGGCTAAGAGTCCTTTGGTTCTCCACTGATAACCGAGTCCCTGTGAGACGCGCTCTACACTCCCACACGACACTCTCCTCCCGGGAGGCGGACAGGAGCGGCCGGTCCCCCAGTCCTGGCTGTCCATAGGCAGAAAAACAGCACTGAAGCCCACACGTCCTCCTGTGACAGGGACGACATTACAAGGCCAAGGATGAGAAGCACTTTAAGAAGCCTCCAGATGAGTATTGGGTTAAAAGGGGGGAAACGTATTTGGACTGAAGGTGGAGGCATGGACGGGGTCGGGAGCTGAGGAAATATTTCATGGAGAAGGTTGGATTTGAGGTGGGGATTACAGAACTATTATCTTCATTTATTTTAACTTTATTTCTAGACAGACAAACAAACTCTGGGCCCATTCCATTGGAAAGATCACATGAAACAACCATTTCAAGAGAAACTGTAAATCTGGTAAGTGACCCGAGTCCTCATCTGAGCTTGCTCGGGACCCGCTGGGTGTTGCGCGCGGAGCGGGCGGCCGGCCGCAGCTGCACCAGGCCGTGCTGGTCCGAGCCAGCCTTCTCTCGCCCGGCGAGGCCGGCGAGCGCTCGTGCACACGCACACGTGTGTGTGTGCCCTCTGCAGTCACTTTCCACCACCCACCTTCCAGCTCTCAAACTGCCCAGGCAGTGGTCTGTTGCCCGCGGCTGTTCCTCTCCTCCAGCAGGATTCGTCCCTGGGCACTTTCTTCTGGGGAGACAGAAACAGCTTGAAAGTCAGGGTTTCCAGAGATGACAGATCGCAGGCTGATCTGCCCACAGCACTCTGCGGTCTGGGCTCGAGAGCTCACCGTTCCACAGTGCAGTGGAACATGCGTGCGCTCCACGGGGCAACAGAAATTCAGCCATCATCTTGTTCCATGGAGCAGCAACACATGGGGCAGAGGGAGCCCCAGCCCTGGGTCTTCTAGACAGCCGGGCCGGCCTCCAAGCACTCTCACTGGGGTTCTCAGAATGTCAGACCAAGGAGGCTTTCACACCTGGCAGTGCCGGCAGCAGGAGCCAGACGGAACCACAGCGCACAGCAAGTCAGAGATACTCGGCAGAGATAGGGCAGTGCCAGGAGCAGCTTTTAGTGCTTGATGCTTGTGGGTGACAAGTGTGCATCCTGTTTACCTCCCTGCCTGGTGGAAGTGCACAGAGGTGAGTCCCAGCCTGTAGGCAGAGGGGGCATGTTTCATCTTTTTATGTGCAGGTGTGTGCGTGACTGCAAACAAAACGAGTACATCAGCATCTCACAGCCGGGAAAAGTTAGCTTGGGCTCCTTTGACGCAATGAAAATATAAGATGATATTTCATACTCATGAATAACCTGCCCCCAAACCAAAAGACATAATCAATTTCATTTAACTTGGTTTTCCAAAAAATTACATGCACAGTTCTGTGCACAGCAGGGGAAAGAACATTCCTTATTGGAAAAGAGAAGAAAACAGAGGGCAGGAGAATTCCTCTCCCCTGGAGCAGCTCCCTCCCTGAAGATCATTTCAAAGACACTTTCCCTTGGATTGACAAAGATTTATAGAATATTTAAGAATATGCAGAAGCTCTCAACTTACTCCCTAGTGGGGGTACTGAAAAGCAAACGTGAACCTGAGAAACAGTTGTAACCACGTGGTGAGAGTTGGCATAAGTGCCTTGGAAGCACTATCTCACTATCTCACACTGGCAGGATGGAAGGATCGAGAAAATATTTCAGCAGTTGTGACCCCCAAGCTAGGTCTCAAGCGATAGGCAGGAGGCAGCTAAGCTAACGGAAAGGAGGGACATTCAAGGTAGACAGAAGGGCACGGCAGTAGAGCAAGGCATGTTGTGCAACCTGCCACACGGGCTCACCCTGATTTATTTTTCTCTGTGGTACTCAGTGGTGCCATCTGGCATTTTATACATTTATTTGTTTATTGTGTGTCTCCTACAGCTAAAGTATAAGCCCCCTGAGGGCAGGGACTTCGTTTTATTTTCTGGTACATCCCCAGCTCCTAGAACATACTTGACTCACAATAGGAATCAATAGATACTTGCTGAATACACACGTGTTGGAAAGGAGTGAGAAATGGGGCTGGACGGTTAGGCAGGGTGGCCCCTGCAGGTCATGGGGCCTTGTGTGCTGTGCTAATGACCTTGCAGATCTAGAACAGTATTCACCAACTGCCAGCCCACAGGCCAAACACAGGTGTGTTTTGCTTGACCAATACTATGTTTTTTATAAAAACCCAGATTGCTGAATTTCCCTTAAAAATTCAGAGGATGCAGTAACACAGGGCAGAGTCAGCTGGTGCTCAGCAGCAGGTACCCCATTAACAAGGCCTGGGCTCTGCAGGTCAGCCCAGTCTGCCCAGTTGCGATTGTCTTGCGTCAGGCCCTCCTTGCTCGTACATCACCTGCCTGTTGCCTGTTGATAGGCGAGTTTGCAACCCTAGCCTAGGTTCAGAGTGTCTAGTTGGAAAACTCCACCAGGAAAGTGAGTCTCCAAAACGACCCCCCAAGGAGCCATCCCCTCCAATACGTTTATGCCTCCCACAGTGAATCTGAGCTGGGAACGAGAGGCAAGTGACACTGCTGGGATTCCAAGGATGGCACCTAAGAAGCCAGTCATCACATAAGAAGTCTGACAACCATGAGGCCTCCATGCCGTGAGGAAGCCCAAGCTAACAATGGGGAGGAACCACATAGGGAAAGACAGCGAGATGCCCTGCCAGACCCCAAGTGTTCTAGCCGTCCCAGCTGGGATGCCAGACATGTGAAAGCCATCTAGGACACTCGGGCCAGCTGCCATCTCACTGCAACCACACACAATCATATGAGAGACCCCAAGACAGAACTCTTCAGCTGAGCCCATTTGATCCACAGAAACATGAGAAATAATAATAAATTGCTTTAAACCACTGCATCTTGGGTGACTTATTACACGACAATAGATCACCCAAACTCCCACATTACCATTTATTAGCTGTGTGGCCTTTGGCATATTATAAGCCTCAATTTCTTCATCTTTCAAATAAGGATAATAATAGCACTGACCACAGAGGTTTTTGAAATTCATGAATTAGGTCATGAATGGAATGTACTTAGCCACAAAGCTAGAAAAGGGCCATCCATAAATAGTAAGTGCTCAATAACTGTTAGTCATTATTTTACTTTGGTCCTCATTATTATTGTTGTTGAAGTTTGTCTAGCGAGTAGCACCCCTCAGAGGCAGGATGCAGAAAAGGAAGCGGAGGGGAGAGGAGGCAGGGAAGGTGCTGATGGACAGACCAGGCTCGGGAGGCTGTGCACGGAAAAGACGGCTCTCCGTGTGGGGGGCGCGACCTGACATCCACCCCCCGGGTTGCCAGGCAGTTGGCTATTTGCCTCATTTTGGTGTTCTCTACTAAGAGTTCTGGAAGCTACTGTCAAGTCACAATTCATTAATTCCTAACTCATTCAAAAATAGTTGCAGAGCACAGGCTATGCATGTTAGGTATTGTTCTAGGTGCTGGAAATATAGCAGTGAACAACGATCCCTGCCCTCATGGAGCTTCCATTCTAGGGTTTATCAAACAAACACGTAGAACACACAATTTGTCAGATGGTGATAAGTATGATGGAAAAAAGATAAATAAGGGTGATAATGAGTGTGGGGTGGAGGAAAGTGGGCTGTAATTAGAAACAGGCCAAGGAAGGCCTCCCTGCTCATGCTGGAAAGCGAGGGAGGCATCAGGGTGGGGAGGCACCGCCAGTTACGCATATAGAAGGAGCCAAACATAACAAGGAGCAGGCGCCTCATGCTGTTGTGTCTACTGTTTATCAGTCACACTGGTGGATGTACATGTTTTCTCCCAGTGATTCCGTAAGGCAAGTGTTATTATATGTTGTCCTTAAGTTATTTCTCATTCACTTCTTTATCCTATTGTGTTATATGTCTCTTTAAGCTACTTTATTTTTTCTTGAGACAGTGTCTTGCTGTCACCTCCGCTAGAGTACAGTGGCATCATCATTGCTCACTGCAGCCTCCAACTCCCGTGCTCAAGCAGGCCTCCTGCCTCAGCCTCCGGAGTAGCTGAGACTGCAGGTGCCTGCCACCACACCCAGCTAATTTTTCTATTTTACATAGAGATAGATGGGAATCTCACTCTTGCTCAGGCTGGTCTCAAACTCCTGGCCTCAAGCAACCCTCCCACCTGGGCCTCCCAAAGTGCTAGGATCGTAGGCATGAGCCACTAAGCTCGGCCTAAGCTACTGCCGGAGTGACAGAGCAAGATGCTGTCTCAAAAAAAAAAAAAAAAAAAAAATTGAAAAAATTCAAAATTTTGCATAGAATTTCAGGTTTTCAATTTACCCACCCTCTGCCAAGCTCAGATTAAGAACTTCCATCCTAAACCAGCAATTCTCAAATAGGTGTTGAGAGAACCATCACATCTTTGGACAGGAAGCTTCAAATTCTACACCACACTCCTCTACCGCTGGCACCATCATCTGAGAAACCTTTTGAATAATGAGAAATGGATTCCACATGTGTCCTCGCTCTCACATTACTCAAGAAAAAGCATTTCCCAGGTGGGTTGCCTCTTTGATCTGAAATCTTTTTTTCTGTAACAGAGAGTTATTATGGAAGCAGGATATTGTCCTGAGATAAATACCTGTCAAGTTTGATTTCGTCCTTGATTCAGACGTCAGAACTTAGTCTCCCTGGTCATTTATGTCTTTAGTTTCCTCCATGTCAATTACTATTTAAAACCAAGTTCTTCTCACATTTACTTTGGAGTTTTTTTCTATGTGCTCTATGGAGAAAGGGCAATGAAGTAGGTGAAGAGGTGAATCATTTCTCTCCATTCTTTGACTAAAAGAAATTAAAAATTCCAGGGCACCCATAGATTTTAAGAACAGAAATTTGTTCAGTTGATTAGCCCAGAATAGAACCAGTAAGGATCCCAGAAGGATCCGGGATCACAGACAACAGCTGCTCCCTTGACCTCAGCTAGCCGTCGTCTCAAACGCAAGCCTGTGACCCCAAGGCGGGGACAGCGGTTGGGAGGCCCCACACCTACTGATTTCCATGAACAGAAAAGTTCATGATGGTGGCTCAGGAATGACATCTTGGAATGCTGAGAGAGAGCCAAAATTAGGTATAAAAATCTGATGACCTCCTCCCTCGTGAAGAAATAGTCCCCAGCTGTCGCTGTGACGCCCATTGCACACTCCATCTCTGGGCTGCTTCAGGCTCTTTCTGGATGAAATGCCTCCCGGTGTTCGCTCCTCACCCCCGCCCTGCCCGGCAGTGTTTGTCACCACTGCTTGCACTGCCTGGTGAACTCCTCCTCATACTGCCAGACAGATCCCAATGGCTATTTCTCTGTGAATCTGCCCTCCCCAGGCAGAGTTACACCTTTCTTGTTCCTATAGTTTTAATCAAACCACTGCCAGAGCAGTTACAGATGATAATATGTGGATGGCTGTTTGTTCACATTTCTTTGCCTACCCTCCTCACTAGACTCTGAGGTTCCTGAGGTTGGGGACTGTGATTCCTCCATGTAGCATAATGCTTAAAACAGTTCTGCCTGAGGCAGGTGCACTTGCCTTGGCAAAGCTCCCTAACTGCAAATGCAGATGTTTCAGACTGAGATCTTAATTAGGGATCCACTGTTTGTGACTTGTAGCTGAACTATGCCTGTCTTTTGTATTATTCTCGGACTTCAGTTTCTCAGGAGACTCGGCCGTTCTAGTCAGGAGGACTAGCACACAGAGACATATAAGCAAACTGTTGGCATTATAATAGTATGATTAAACGATAGAACAGAGGCATGTTTGGGGACGTAAAGATTGTTAGAATTGCTTCTAAATGTGTATGTAGATAGCCTTTGTCTTAAAGTTATGGGTTTTCTTGTTGAAAGGCATGAGTGCATTCGCCAGCATGTGTGTGCCGTGTGGACTTGCCCAAGCAGTGCTTGTGGGAGGTGGAAGCAGGTCCAGACCGAAGCAGGAGGGCAGGCAGGCCTGACCTTCTCTCCTTCTCACCTGACCTGGGCCTGCTGGCCCCCACAAAGCAGTCTTTACATTAGGAAGATGTATTACTGGGCTATGAAGATTTTCAAGGACTGGGTTGAACTACTGACAAAAAGTTTTAAAATGGGTCAGGCAGCAAAAGATTATCCTTTGGGCCCTTTTTTGAACTGAGTATTAATAAATCAGTTGCAAATGATTGGCAGTTACTATTAATAGATTCCACAGAGAAAGAGCCCTGGGACCTATAAAATGTATAGTGAAAGTCACCAGATTACATATTTGACAGTAAATTAGCCTATCTAATAACCAGTGGAAGTTTGTACATCCTCTTCAAGGAGGTATGAAATGTGTAAGAAATTAATGTTCCCCAGTGGAAATCTTGGGGACAATAAATCATTTCCTTAAACTTTATTTAATGGATTGTGTTTTAGTTATGTTACTCCTCTTTCATAGAAATTGCAGGATGGAAATACAAATTCACAGCTGATTTTCAGAAGTGGATTAATCAATCATTTCTTTGTCAGAAATGACAGTCTATGAATCAGTTTTCAGAGTCACAATATGATTGACTAAAAGTGATCTAGTTCGTATCAGGCTCAGACTCTCGGTCCTACTAACATATGAAGAGGCTTACTGAATGTTCACAGTCAAATAGCCAACAGAGAGGGCCCTAACTTGGTCTATTAATATAACCCTAGTAAAGAAAATAAACACTCTAAAATGTCCAGTTTTATTTATGCAATATAATTGTAACTAGGCAAACAAGGATGTGCTAGAGCTAGCCTAGGATAGGATGTGGCAGTTATTCTGGTTATTTCTGAGAGACTTGATAAGCTCAGTTGCTCTGAGACAATAGAGACATGCAGACCTGAGCTAACGAAGTCTGGTGGGGCTCACGTGATACATATGTGTTCTAGGGTTTAGGGGGAGATCAGAGACTCTTACGGTAAAAGGAGAGGCACAACTTCCGTTCTCTGCTGTGTTAATAGTTGTTATTTTTAAGTTGAGCCTCTTTGATCTGATGTATATTAACATTTCATGTTCCCTCAAATCAATACTCTTTTTCATGTGGGGATTTTGAGTCATTTTAGTACTTTCCTTTTTAAACTTACATAAACCCCAATAAATAAGAATTCTGATTGCCTGCTCCTGGGGAGGGCAGATTTTTCTTTACCACTGATATAAGTCCTGTTCGTTTCTCCTGATTGCTGCCTGGATCTCAGAACTTGATGGTGTACTCTAGACTTCCTGATGCCTCAAGGCTAAAAGCTGTGGCAGACCCTGCCTAATCAATAGTGTCCACGAAATATTTCTTCTGCCTCATGAAACAAAATCCCTCTTTGAAAGGACTCATATTCTTATCTGATGACTACATGCTATATGTTCTTGGTACATTTTTCCTAAATTGGACATTTTCTCTTAAGACTTTCCATTTAAGTCTCGCTTAAAGAGCTCTCTTCAGACTTCCAATGCCCTGGACTAATTTTTCTGTTTTACAATTTTTCCATTAATAGAATCTGGTGCCCATACTTTGTTCAAAGAGTGTTATGTTTTTTCCCCAAAGTAATATTAAAAAATATAATTTTGGAGCTTTTCTCATAACTAATTTTTTAAAAAATAATACTCAGAGGATAGATATTAAGTGCAATATTCTGGCCCAAGTAGGTATTGAGAGGATAGTTACTGCATTTCTGAGTCCTAGGTCTCACCAGGCTGAGACTACAAAATAAGGACTTTATGGCACAAGTTCCACCCGCTTAATGCCAGAAATTGGTACCTCTGCAAATGGTCCCCTGAATTCTTCTGAATTCCTCAGGGAGCTGTCCTCGGGTACTTTTGGGTGGTATCCCTCATGCTTCCACCAGGAGGCGTTACAGCATTGTGGTTAAGGGCGTGTGCATTGAAGTCACACAGAAAATTGGGGTTTAAATGCCTCTTCCTCCACTTCCTAACTTTGTGACCTTCCTGTGTTTCAGTTTACTCTCTCTTTAAATTGGGACAATAATAGCACTTACATAGTTTGTTAAAGAAGAGAATACCCGTGCAGTCCTTGTCACATAGCAAGTGATACTTCTGTCCGATGGGATGCTTTCAGCTATAAGGAATACAAAAATCAACACAGATGGCTTAAACATAAGGATTTATTGTTTCATTTGGCAAGGAGTCTCAAGGTGGGGCAGCTCCAGGACTGCTTGATTCGGTGACTCAGTAATGTCTCAGGAACTTCTTTGTCCACTCAGGACAGCTTTTCCTCAGCCAGGCTCCCATCACTGAGAGATTTACATGTATCATCCAGACAAGAAATTGTCCAGAGTGGGGAGAAAGTTCACCTTTTATTGCAACTCGATTTTTAAGAATGAAGCAGCTTTTCTCAAAAGCCCCTCCCTCTCTCAGCAGAATTCTCTACTTGCCATCAGACTGAATCACACATCCCTGCCTAAACCAGTCATGGGAGAGGAGAATGAACAGACCATGATTGACTTAAATTAACCAAAACTTACCCCTGATCTAGGAATAAAATTACTTCCCCCAGGAATACGTGCCCCCTGAAGTTGGGGAAAAAAGGAACACAGTAGACTGGTATCTGAATCCCACGGATAAAATTTAAAAGTTGAAAGAGAAGTTTGCGAATTATTCTGATGGTGTGAACAAAGAGTTTGCTACTGTGTCAGGACTGGGCAGCATTTCCAGAGTTTGTGAGCCAAGGATGCATGTTTTCTGGAGACCAAATATTGACCACACCGGACAGCCACCTGGCGGGGGTTGGCCTGGGCGCTGTGCGCTAGGACTGCCTACAGGGGCAATCAGGACTCAGCAGAAAGAAGCTAGAGGTCTTGCTGGATCACAGGAGCTGGGAAAGGAGTAACTGAAGCCAGTGACTAGAGTATCATCCATGTCAAGGGAACATAGATGAGAAAATCCCAGCAAGAGATTCCTCCAAAAACCCCTCAAAAGAGTGTCCGTGAGGGAAAAAGCCATCTTTAAATGTCTTTCAGACCCAGCAAGCCTGAAGCCATCTAATGACAACACAAATCAAATAATTCTTTTGTTCACTTTACCTCTGTTTTCCCTGACTCCAACCTTGGAGTTGTCTGAAACTTCAGTCAGCAAGTTGAAGGGAGAAAAGTGGACAAAGAAGCGAGAAGATGCCATACTCTCTTTGACCCTGGTCTAACTTGGGAACAGGAGAGTAGCTCTAAATCAGAATGAAATGGGAAGTTTTGCCTGTCATCTGGGACTAGGTTATCTAAATGGTAATTTGAAACTGTTTTGTAATCTACAGTGCCCAGAGCAATGAGGTTTGCCTAATTTTTTATCTATTAATAGAAGCAAGGGCAGAACTAATCCCACTGAGGTAAACAAAACAAAGCTGCTTGTATGATTGTATTTTTAGTCCTGCTTGTTAAATATACTACTTAAACTTATAATAATCCACAATTTTCATAAGAAATGGCTGCTAAGAGCTTCACTAGAGGCCCAAACCTTTCTTCAGATCCCATAAAGTTCACCATTACTCTTAGAAATATTCTGAAGTATCCTTTTGTGAAGGTTGGGATTTAATCCTTTAAGAGTTAAGTAGGGAAGTGGCCTCTGGCTGGTAGCCCCAGCTGCCAGCATCTCTCGGCTTTTCACTAAAATACCTATAAAGCTTATAGGATAAAGTAAATATATCCCCCTGGATTCTGGTATTAGTTTATCTGTCATTCTCTGTTCTATATAACTATATATATATATATATTTTTTTTTAAAGATAATTAAATGTAATAATTAAAACAGTGAGCATTGGCTAAGAAAAAGATACAAAGATCAATGGAATGGAATAGAAAATCCTGAATCTGAGACATAAAATGGGAGCAATCAGCATAGGAAGTGGGCGAGTAGAGGTCCTAGGACTGAGGCTTGGGGCACTCTAACATTAAGAGGAGATGAGAGAACAAGAGACCAAAAAGGTGTTGCCATTGCCATAGAAGGGAAACTATGGTGTCCTGGAAGTCAAGTGAAGAAAGTGTTGCAGCAAGGAAAGGAGCAGCTGAGTTCAAGGCTGCTGATGGGTCAAGTACGATGACAACTAAGAATTGTTTATTGGTTTTAGCAACATGAGAACCTTGATGCCCTTGACAAGGGCAATTTCAATGGAATAAGTCCATGGCCTGATTACAGTGAGTTAAAGAAAGGATGGTAAGAAACCGATGATGATGAGGGCAGACCTCTCTTGCAAGGAGTTTTGCGGTTAAGTGGAATGGAGAAATAGGCAGTAACTGGAGAAGAGGGTTTATAATGATAACAGCATATTGTTAGGATGCTGAGGGGAATGAGCTATTTGAAAGGAAACAAATGATGGAAAGAAAAAAGAAAAAAATGGAGAAGAGAAAAACATGGAGAGAAAAAAATGAAACAGGGAGCTCAGACAGATTAAATTAAGGATCAAATTTAGGAAACAACTAGAGCATTGGCTTTAAGGAGACAGTTGCAGGAGCAAAGACATATGGACAGTGGCTAGTAAGTGGGAGCTTGTAAGAAGGTCTTTGATTACGTCTACGTTTTCTTTTTTTTTTTTTGGAGACAGAGTCTTGGGCTGTCACCCGAGTGAGTGCCGTGGCGTTAGCCTAGCTCACAGCAACCTCAAACTCCTGGGCTCAAGTGATCCTCCTGTCTCAGCCTCCCGAGTAGCTGGGACTACAGGCATGCACCACCATGCCCGGCTAAATTTTTGTATATATACTTTTAGTTGGTCAATTAATTTCTTTCTATTTTTAGTAGAGACGGGGTCTCGCTCAGGCTGGTTTCGAACTCCCGACCTCAAGCAATCCGCCCGCCTCGGCCTCCCAGAGTGCTAGGATTACAGGCGTGAGCCACCGCGCCCGGCTACATTTTCTTAATGAAATAGGGCATCAGCTGACAGTAAGGACAAGGAGATATGGGTGTTTTGGGGAGAAAGCTTGAAATAGTTTGGGAGAATCAATAAATGGATTAGGAAAATGTAGTATGATTCCCAGCAGCATCAAGGGCCTACTTGAGATCAGTCATCATGAACTGAAATGAGAACAGTCATGGTGATTCTCCTTGGTCAACTTTAGCTTTGCAGACATAGGTATGCAGCAGCAGAAAGTAGGATTTAACCAAGGTTTTACTTTTCCCAGCAATGTATCAAGGCCAGAGATGGCAAGGAAGTTGAAGATGTATGAAACAGAGCAATTTTAAGGACTGGTCAAGTAATTCAAATTGGGTAAGAGGAATAAGGACTTCAAGGAAATGATGAAAAGTAAAAAAAATGGTATTACCAATAGATTGAGGATTTGGTGGGATGAAGGAATTGCTAGTTAGGATGTGAAAGGGCATGAGCTAGAAAAATAAGTGATGGTGGTCAGAGTTGGATGCTTGAAATTGGTGTTTAAGAAAGGATTATGGGCATTGTTAGTGACAAAAACTAGGATTTTATGAAAGTTAAGTGGCCAATATAGTCTGGAGAACAAAATCACTGGAGAAAGAATGAACTGAGAAACTTCAAAAAAATAATGTAAGATAGACATTGAAATCATCAAGAATTGTAACAGAAGCATCAATGACCCCAAGATTGAGGATGAAAAAACAGGAGTTGATTTGCAATGAGAGACAACAGGTGGTATAGGTTGATATAAGATTCAAAGTGAAAAATTTTAGAGAAAGTGGAAAGTGGTCTTAGAGTCGCATTGAAGATTAACAAGAACATCTATCCTATCTCCAGGCCCCTTGGTGTGAGGGATGTAGGAAAAAAAAGTGACCTCCTGAAATTCAAGGGAAATTCAACTAGAACAACAAGGCAAACTGAAAGTTAAGAGAAGTTGAAGATTTTGGGGAACTTTACTGATGATTGAATTTCAGTTTCACAGGGCACAGTGGAAGTGTTTTAGGAGTTGGGGAAGGAATATGGGTCCAGAAAGGATGATGTTAAGGGCCATAATATGAGGACTCTTGTGGTTATAAAATTAATAGGAATCTAGGGTATACGAAATTCACTTAAATGGTTTTGAGGCATAAGGTTGTGACAAGGCTTTATATTGGGTGGTAGAAAAGGGTGGCAAGGTCTTTGCAGGAGCTCTGCAGAGTTCTGGGATGGCCTATTAATCCTTGTGATGGAAAATCTGAAGGATGATCTTCCTCAGAGCACACTGGACTCAAAACTCCCTGCTGCCTTTTCAAATGGTGGTGTGGACTGAAGCTGGAAATGATGCATTCTAACGCCAAGCACAATGTGCTCTTGTCTTGAACCCTGCTGGTAGATGTATGGAAACCAAAGATGAGAGAACCCTGAGCATCCAGACATTCATAGCTAACAGTGAGTGCTAGGAACATGATTGTTATTATCATACTTAATCCTCACAACAACCCATTAAAGTAGGTACTATTATCCCCATTTACAGATGAGAAACCTGATGCCTAATGAGATTGTGATTTGTCCAACACTACACCCGGTTAAGGGGTGGAGGGCAAATATGAAATCAGGCAGTCTCACTTCAAAGCAACTGCTCTTAAACTGTATACCATCTCCATGGCAAGCTGGTTATTTTAAACCATCCTGGGATTAAAACTTGTTTTTATCCCCTGTTCATTTTTTAAATCACAAATGTTACATTTGATCGAAAAGACTTTATGAGTGTTATAACAGAAGGCATTTGTTTGGGTTTTAATATTTGTTGATCTACTTGTCAAAAAAAATGAAAACAGTTTTGATAGTTCAGGATGACTTCACAATAGCAAGTGATAAACTCTGTTATAAATAAAAATTCTAAGAATTAACTTTGAAATAGATTAAATGGAGTATGCACAGGTCATGAAAATATGTCTTAATGTTATATAAATATTTGTGGGTTGAGATAAAATTTACAGTGACAACATCATCACAATACTCAAAAGAGCTTCTGGTGCTCACTTTGGTGAGTTTATCCACTAAAACTGGAATGATTCAGAGAAAGTATGTATGGTTCTTCCACAAGGAAGAACACATACAAAGTCATGAAGTAGTCTTTTTTTAAAGATATTAAATAGACAATACAACCAAATAAACCTTGACTGTACCCTGAACCCCCCCCCCCCAAAAAAAGTATATGCATGTGTGAGGACAACTGGAGAAATCTATGGGTTGTAGATTAGAGATTATGGAATTATTAATTTTCTTAGGTATTATGGTCTACTGGTATTGTGGTCATGTAGGTAAATGTCCCTAAATGTAGGTATGTGTTTATTCTAGGAAAATACATGTATTTAGGGGTAAAGGGTTCTGATGTCCCAACTTAACTTCCAAATGGTTCACCCCAAAAATGTTATATATATATATATATATATATATATGTATACACACACAATACACATCTATATATATGTATATACACACACATATATGTACATATACATGTATATACACACATACATATATGTAAATATTCACACATATACATAAATATAGATAAAACAGATACATAAACAAAGAAAACTAAAAAGGTTAACATCTACTAAATCTGGGTAAAGGTGCATGGATGGTTCAATTTTTCTGTAGATTTGCAATTTTTCAAATCAAGAAGTTGGAGAAAAGCATGTAAGGTGTTTAATAACTTTGTTCTATGAGTTAAAAAAGCATTATTTCTAAAGTGACATGTTACCTAATATACTGTGACTTTAAATAGATCTAACTAGGTCAAGTTTATATCTGTTTCATGTTCATGCCTATGAGTTTATATATTCAAATGGGAACACACCTGAAAATGGAAAATCAATAAACAGATAATAAGCACGGTAAGTGGAGACACAGAGTCAAAAATGGTTGCTATTAGGAAGCAAGAAATCCTTTGTGGGGGAAAAGTCGGTGGGGGTGGAGGTATGAAACAGCACAGAGTAGAGAACTGCTGTTTTTCTGTGCAAGCTTGGAAAACTATTTAATTTCTCAAATTATATGTATGTATAACTTTAATATTTTTAAAAATCCAATTAAAAGAACTGTCTTACTTTGCATCCTTGGTGTTTTAATGCTTTACTTAACATGAGAAGAAATAAAATGAGGCTGTTCATAGGGGAACATTAAAAGCCCATATTTTATATATATATATATATATATATATTTTTCTTACCTAGGCACAAATCTACTATTGGCAAGAATTTTCAGTCCTTGTTTCTTTTCTCTCATGTAGTTATAATTTCAGAGAGAAAAAAAATAAACTCCAAATTGCAAAATATTATGTTCTATTTAGATATAGAAAAATTTAAAAAAATAGTATTCTTAAAGTATTCTAATAAACATTCAAAACTATCATTTTAGTGTTTGAAAAGGTGAAATTATGATAGTACAGGGAACAAAGTGTTTATGTGAAAGTATAATCACATTTCATAGTTGGCTGAAATGTGATTAATATTTAATGGGATGCTATTAATACTATACTCAGCTTTAAAAGTGGCAAAAACCTAAATCTCTATCCAGAGGTTAGTAATAAATTTGTGTGTTCTCTTTCAAAAGACAGAAGAACCAGTAATTAATAAAGACAAGTGTTCAGATTTATTTGGAAATTCACAGTTTCTAATGGCACTACAGCTCTGTAGTTACATACTGAAAGTCCTCTTTCCACAACACACAGATCATGTAACTTCCTGCTCTACATCTGCTCTCATCTGGACTTCTTTTCAAGGGGCATCTATACAATCAGGCCCTCTTGCTCTGAATGGCTAATTGTGCAGACTGGAAAAAAAGTTAAATCGTCTAAAACATACTGTTAACCTAAAGCAGCAACTTAAACAAACAAAAAAGGCTTTAAATAAGTCACATTACAAACAATACCCAAGAAAGGTATTAGACATGTTTAAAAAGTATTACTAAAAGTGCTCAATAAGTTATAACTTAAATCTCACAACACAAAATGGTAAATTCTCTCCCTTTCAAAAAGAAACATGTTCCACTTTCATTCATTACTATACAATCACACACTGAGAAATCATTTAATTCAAATAGTCACTGCTAATTATTTTTTAAAGAAAAAACACAAATGAAGACAGACATATTGACATCACCATGTATACCTCTGCACATTTGTAGCCAATACAAAGCAAACATCAAGGAATAATGATCTCTTTAGACTTAACCAATTAGACAAGGCTTGACAAACTCACTAGCTGGATCTGTGTATATGTACATAGGCAGTGATTGTATCATATGAGACCTGGCTCATTTGCTAAATCCTCAAATTTTATATTTGTAGTAATAGAAAACTGTGATATGAAACTTTGGAAAATTAGTGTTTACTATGAACCTTTAAAACGCAATGCAGCTAAAGAAAATCTTCACAAATGGTGAAATGTGTTTAAAAGGTGAATTTATCAAAAATTTTTTTGCAAGTACCAGTTATTTGCAAAAAAAAAACCTTGTAGTTTGGTGTATTTTTCCCTCATTGAGTTAGTAACTAAGGACAAAGTCTGAATAAATTAGATGAAAATAAGATAAACAAGCATCACCATTTACCTAAAAGATCAGAATTTAAAAATCCAGCACTTGTTTATTTCCAGTGAGTTTGCT